AAAAAAAAAAAAAAAAAAAAAAAAAATGTTAAAAAATAAAAGTAACAATGACTGACAAACTTGTGCCCTGTCTTATGATGCGAGGAGAGTTCATCATTTAATATGAGACTCCCGTGGTTGGCTGGAGAACTGGCTGAGAGGTTAAGAGCATGTGCACCCTGACACAGAGACATGCGCGATTAAAAATAAAAATTCACTTCAAAGTATTTAAAATATTTTCCAGTGGTAATTTAAAAGGTCTGTATGTGTTCATGTACACATGCATGCTAGGGCCCACAGACACCAGAAGAAGGCATCATGTTCCCTGGAGCTGGCGTTACAGGAGATTGTGAGTCTTGATGTAGGTTCTAGAAATCAAACTCAGATCTGCAACAACCTGTGCTCTCAACTGCTGAGCCATCTCTCCAGCCCCCATAGTAACTTTAATTAGGTTACCTAGTAACATTTTTACCCTTGGAATGAGACTGAAAAATCTTTTTTAAATCCCTTGTCTCAGTCAGTCATGGTAGTACATGTCCAGTAATCCCCGAGTTTGGAAGGTAGAGATGAGGTCTGGAATTCAAGGTGGTACACAGTTTGAAGGTAGCCTGAGTTACACTGTGTCTTTTTTCTTTTCTTCTTTTTTTTTTTCTTCGAGACAGGGTTTCTCTTGTTTTGGTACTTGTCCTGGAAGTTGCTCTGTAGACCAGGCTGGCCTCAAACGCACAGAGATTGGCCTGGAATGCTGAGATTAAAGGCGTGGGCCACCGCCTGTCCAGAGTTATACTGTATCTTGTCCTGGACTAGCTTTGTAGCCCAGGCTGGCCTCGAACTCACAGAGATCTGCCTGCCTCTGCCTCCCGAGTGCTGGGATTACAGGCCTGCGCCACCACCGACCAGCTACACTGTGTCTTAAAAGCAAAACAAACAGAGGACCAGGGATATTCACTTGTGCTTGCTACATGCACACGGTCCAGGGTTGAGTTCCCATCACTGCATAAACCCCTGTATGTGGCACACTTAATTGCAGCACTTGGAAGATAGAGGCAGGAGGATCAGAAGTTCGAGGCCAGTCTTGGCTATGTAGGGAGTTCACAGCCAGCCTAATGAGAATCTGTTGGGAAAAAAAATGACAAAACCAAATCCCCATCCCCAGTACTGCGGGGCCTCAGACATTATCTCTACCTCTAGGCTCTCAAGAACTCTTTCTACTCCCAGGACTCTTAGCTCTCCGGTGTCCTTGTGGCTAAGAACCAACTCTGACTGGTTCATGTAAAAGCCAGGGATGAAAGGAATGAGGATTCTTTGCATTCCGTTCTTGCTTCGTTCACTGACCAGAGTTGCCCACCCGTAGACGGAGGTGTCGGCCACACTGAGGACTTGGCGTAACTCCTCTGACTCCTGCCGAGCCTTGATTAGGCAGACATAGACCCCTGGAAAAGAAAACAACAAAAGGAAAGACAACTAGAAGGTTCAGAGGCTCTACTGAGATAACCAGGTTAGGATGGGAAGAAAAATTAAACTCGGTTTTAAGCATTTAGTAAGGGTATATTATTGACCATTATGGAAAAAATAGCAAAGGAAAGGGGAAAAAAAAGTCCCGGGGGAGCCACAGCTGGACTCAACGGTGCTGTTCCCAGAAAGTCAACACTGAGTGAATATTAAGTAGTGTGGTCCAAGCAGGTGAGAAGTGCTGAGGAGCAGAATGAATATAAAACCTTTTTGAAACAAAACAAAACAAACCTTTTGGAGTGTGGTTCTGACACCCCTTTATGGAACACCTCTTCCCCTAGGCTCCCGTTGGTTGCTGGTCTGGTGCCCTGCCTTGGAGTGAAAGTGCCATCCCATCTGCATCTTGTTCTGGAACTTTTTTTGTTTTTTTTTTTTTCGAGACAGGGTTTCTCTGTGTTGCTTTGCACCTTTCCTGGATCTCGCTCTGTAGCCCAGGCTGGCCTCGAACTCACAGAGATCCGCCTGGCTCTGCCTCCTGAGTGCTGAAATTAAAGGCGTGCGCCACCACCGCCCGGCCAATTGTTCTGGAACTTTCTAAAGTGTCCAACTTTAGTGTCTGACTGAACCTTCCTTCAGTGCTTGTTCATTGCCCATGCCATTCAAGCTGAGAGGCCTCGATTCAGAGCTCAAGTGGTGTAGCATCATCCTGCTTATGCCTCCTCATCCCCCCAATTTTGTTTGCAATATTTGAACTAATGCTTACCACATGCCAGGTGATCACTCTCCCACTGAGCATCCTGGCCGCCTTTTTACTTTTTATTTTGAACACAGTCTCACTAGATTTCCCAGATCAACTTGAACTCATGTTGTAGACCAGGCAGGCCTTGACTTTATGATCCTCCTGCCTCAGCCTTCCAAGTATTAGGATTACAGGTTTATGCCACAAAGCCTAGCAGAATCCTCTTATTTTATGTTAGTTCATTTATATCAAGGCAGCTGAATGTTATACTATTACTTGTTAGTGACATTTGGAATATTCAAAACTGTTCTACATGTTGGAGATAAAAGAATAACCTGGGCATGATGGTATATGCCTACAGTCCCAGCACTCAGGTAGCAGAAGCAAGTGGATCTCCGAGGTTGAGGTCAGCCTGGTCTCAGTGAGTTCCAGGCCATCCAGGACTACACATTGAGACCCTTTCTCCAAAAAACAAAAAAACCCAAGACAAGAAAACGAGACACAATCCAACCTTTCATGAAACAGGAGCAAAAAAGAAAAAGGTAAATGATAGGAAAGCAGCGTGTTCTAGGTGGCATGTGGTAAAAGTGCGTTCAACAAGGGATACAGCTCAGTTGGTGTGGAGTTTGCCGAGCATGCACAAAGCTCCAAGACTGATCCACGGCGGACACGCTGGACATGTGGCACAGCTTGCAATCCTAGCTCTCCGGAGGTGGGGACAGCAATTCAAGGTCATTCTTGTCTGAGGTCAGCCAGGGATACATGATACCCCCAAACAAAAAACACAACCCTTTGTTAAACAGGTTGAGAAAGGCTGCAGAGGTAGAGAGAAGGCCAAGTTCCACAGGAGGGTGGCAGCTGTACAAACGGGGCGAAAGGAAGCTAGTGAGCTGCCGGGTCCTACCTCTCTCCATGCTGAACTCCGAGTGGATGTGGAAGACTTTGCTTGCTGGAATGTCTAGTAAAGTATTGCTAAACTGCACGTGGCACAGCATGAGCGTCTCGGGGAGAAGAACTTCTGTAACAGCGGACGCCTGACTTGGGGTACAGGATCCTAAGAAGAGAAAAATTAAATAAGTGTTACCAACAAGGATTTGTAAAAGGAAAAATTATGGGGACCGGAGAGATGACTCAGTGATTTAGAGCACTGGTTCCTACAGAGGGCTGTTGTGGAATAATGTTTTTGTACACTGTGAAGATGTACACATGGCCAATAGCTAGGCAGGATTTTCAGGGCAGAGAGGATGCTGGGAAGAAGGGTGGAGACTTGAAGCATAACATGTAGGTGATGAGATGTAAAAAGCCATGAGCCTAGAGGCAGCACATAAATTAATAGAAATGGATTAATTTTAAGTTACAGAGCTAGCTAAAAACAAGCCTAAGCTATCGGCCAAGCCTTCATGGTAATAAAGGTCTCTGTGTTCTGATTTGGGGCCTGGCTGGCAGGACAGAGAAAGACTCGCTACAGAGAATCTGAGTTCAGTTCACAGTCCCTGCACTGGGTAGCTCACAACCATTTGTAACTCAAGCTCTAGGGTATTTGACATCCTTGTATGGCCTTTGAGGGAACCTGAACAGAAGGCAATCATACACGTGAATAAATATCAATCTTTTCTTTTTTCTTTCTTTTCTTTTCTTTTCTTTTTTTTTTTTTTTTTTTTTTTGGTTTTTTGAGACAGGGTTTCTCTGTGTAGCTTTGGTGCCTGTCCAGGATCTCACTCTGTAGACCAGGATGGGCTCCAACTCACAGAGATCCATCTGGCTCTGCCTCCTGAGTGCTGAGATTAGAGGCATGCGCCACCGCCACCGCCCAGCTGAATAAAAATCTTATATATAAAAAAACCTAACATGTCATTAATCCTAGCACTCCAGAAGCAGAAGCTAGCCTGAGCTACATAGTGAAACTGTCTCAAACACACACACACACACACACACACACACACACACACACACAAAAAAAAAAAAAAAAAAAAAAAAAAAAAAAAAAAAAAAAAAAACCCTAAAAGCCATTAATCCAGGCTAGGGTATGCCTCAGCAGTATAATAGCATGCATGACACTGGCTTTGATCTCCAGCACCACAAAAAGAAAAAATCCAAACTTTTTTTTTTGTTTTTTCTTTCAAGACAGGGTTTCTCTGTGTAGTCCTGGTTGTTCTGGAACTCACTCTGTAGACTAGGCTGGCCTCCAACCAGATCTGCTTATCTCTGCCTCCCCAAGTACTGGGATTAAAGGTGTGTGCCACTGCTGCCCAGCTATAAAAAATCCAAACTTTAATCCAGTCATAATTTTTGAAATCTCATTGACTTCATTTTCTGTGTCAAGATGGAATCAAGGGCTAGAGCAGTGGTTCCCAATCTTCCTAACACTGTGACCCTTTAATACAGCTCCTCATGTTGCGGTGACCCCCAACCATTAAATTATTTTGTAGCTACTTCATAACTGTAATTTTGCTACTGTTATGAGTAGTAATGTGAAATATCTGTTTTCTGATGGTCTTAGGTGACCCCTATAACAGGGTTGTTCGACCCCCCCCCAAGTGGTCCCAGCCCACAAATTGAGAACTGCTGGGCTAGAGAGATGCTCAACAGTTAAGCTATTGCTCTTCTAGAGGACCGAGTTCATTTCCTAGCACCCATGTCAGGTGTCTGGCCACTGAGGGCCCTACACCCATGTGCACATACCCATATACCTACACATAAATAAAAATAATAAAAATCTTTATAAAAATTGGAGACAATTTTGAAACACAGTGAAATTTTTCTGTTTTAGTTTTTATTGAGATAGGATCTTGCTATGTAGCCCAGGGTGTCCTTGAACATGCTGTAATGCGTGTGTCCCAGCTTTTCACATGCTAGCATTACAGGTATGAGGTACCATGCATAGCCAGTCAAAGGAAACATATTAGTCCAAAGGAGTGAAATAATCGAGGGAGGCAAAGGGAGATGGACACAATCAGGAGGCCTGTGGGGAAGTCCCTTACCTTTGAGGTTAACATCGTGTCTACCGGTGCTGATGAAGAGTGTGAACACAGTTGCGTTGGGGATATTGGTGAGGTAAGTCTTCAGGTCATAGCTGAGTGTTAATCTTGATGATGCATTGACTACCACCTGTCAGCAAACCAAAGGAATATGTGGTCCCCTCCATCTTTACCCCTTATGATGTATTTCAACCAAAAGTATCTATTTCATACAAATGCCAACTGGCATTCTGATTATTTGAGAAACAAACAAACAAACAAAAACAACCCCCTGTTTACTGCTAAAATGATTTTTGTTTTGTTTTGCGAGACAGGGTTTCTCTGTGTAGTTTTGGTGCCTGTCCTGGATCTCGCTCTATAGATCAGGCTGGCCTCAAACTCACAGAGATCTACCTGGCTCTGCCTCACGAGTGCTAGGATTAAAGGTGTGCACTGCTGCCCAGCTGAAATTATTATTATTATTATTATTATTATTATTATTATTATTATTATTTTTAATTTTGAGACAGGGTCTCATGTATCCCAGGCTTGCCTGAATCTCCCTTTATAGCCTAAAATGACTTGAATTTCTGATCTTCCAGCCTCCATATCCCCAGTGTTGGGATTAAAAACACAGCTGGTGTATGTGGTAAAGCACTCTACCTACTGAGCTACATCCCCAGCCCGGGAGAAGTTTTCTCGTTTTCAGACAAGGTCTCTCACTGTATCCCAGGCTGGCCTGAACCTCACTGTGTAGCAGAGGCTGTCCTTGAATTCCAGTTTCCAAAATCCTGCCCCAACCTCTTGCATGCTGGGATTACAGGCACGTAGCACCAGGCTCACAATGAGCCATCTAAGATTTCATTTGCATGTGAGTGTGGGCACATGCACGCCAGGCCATGTGCAGGATAGAAGCCTTTTCCAGGCTCACCTTCCACCTTGTTTTGAGGCAGGATCTCTCTTGTTTCTGCCGCTAAGAGAGCATCTGGCAGGTTCCTGTGCCTGCCTCCTGTCTCACCACAGGAGTGCCGGGGTTACAGGTGGGTTACGGGTGACTGTCACCACATCTGGTTCTGGGTTACCAACTGGGCCATCTCCCAGCCCTCACAGTGGCCCCTCTCTGTCTTTTTTTCTTTTGGTTTGAAGGAGCCAGTGAATTTCTTTTTTTTTTTTTTTTGGTTTTTCGAGACAGGGTTTCTCTGTGTAGCTTTGCGCCTTTTCCTGGAACTCACTTGGTAGCCCAGGCTGGCCTCGAACTCACAGAGATCCGCCTGCCTCTGCCTCCCGAGTGCTGGGATTAAAGGCGTGCGCCACCAACGCCCGGCTAAGCCAGTGAATTTCTGAGGGCATTTCCTTACAGTGGTGGCATCTGGCTCAGGACAGACAGAGGTGGCCAGGCTCTCCCCATGATGCCTATGTCTCTCAGGTTTTTAATGATAAAAATATGGAATGCTTCATGAATTTGTTTGTCATCCTTGTGGAGGGGCCATGGCTAATCCTGTCTGTATTGTTCTATTTTAGTATATGTGCTTCTGAATGGAGCACTCATAGTGATCTCTGGTTGTTGTTTTTTCTTTCTTTCTTTTCTTTTCTTTTTTTTAATAGGGGGTTCAAGACAGGGTTTCTCTGTGTAGCCCTGGCTGTCCTAGAACTCACTCTGTAGTCCAGGCTAGCCTCGAACTTAGGGATCTGCCTGCCTCTGTCTTCTGAATGCTGGGATTAAAAGAGTGCACCACTACCGTCTGGCTTCATAGTGATCTCTTAAAACAGTAATCAGATTAGTCACTCTTTTGGTAAGAATTATAACTACATTTTATATAAATTGCTTTTTTGAAGTCAGGTGTGGTGGCACACACCTTTAATCCCAGCACTCAGGAGGCATAGGCAGGCAGATCTCTGATTTTTGAGGCCAGCATGTCTACACACAGAGTTCTAGGACACAGAGTTCCAGGCTACACAGAAAAACAAAACAAATGAACAAACAAACAAATAAATAAATACAATAAAAAATAGAATAGCTTTGTTGTTTTGTTTTGAGGTGCTTGAGGTTGAAGCTAGGTCTTAGCATGCTAGCAAATGCTCAGTCACTGAAATGTCTCCCAGCCCACTAGCTGTTTTGGGGTCTGTTAGCCAGTGCACTTCCATCCTAGGATATTTCCGAATGTATAGTCTAGAAACGCACAGTCACGCTGGTCTCTTCAGCTCGGTGCAGTTAGCTGTACCTCTCGAAATGTCTTTACGACTCCAGGGATGTCATAAAAGATTGTTGCGGTTCCTGGGCTCCTCGCCACTCCTACCCCAGTGACAGTGTCTGTCTGTATGATACTGTTGGTGGAGATCATCCACAGCCCGGGCTCACCTGAAGAAGATGAGAGAAAGTGCCTGGCTGCAATTTTCAGTATAAATGAATAAGTTATGGGTGGTGGTGGCGCACCCCTTTAATCCCAGCACTCGGAAGCAGAGCCAGGCGTGTGCCGCCCACCCACCTGACAGAACTGTCTTCTGTGAGGTTAAGGAGAAGTCTGCCTACCGTGCTGATTGACGAGGTGCGTGCTGAAGCAGATGACATCTCCCACAAAGGTAAGCTTGGTGTCCGGCTCAATGGCGTGTTCCACAGCAACAGGAATATAATCTGCCATGCCAGGGTGCCTTTGGTCCCAAAGCCCCACGACCGTCACCCCTCTGTTCACGGCCTGGGCCATATAGGTATAGTTTCTGTTTCCCGGTCCGATGAGCAGCAAGTCATCTCTGAAAGGAGATACAAAAGGCAGGAGTGTCTGAGAAGGACGGCTGAGCATGGGATTCAGGGATGGGGTGTTTAGCCAGCATGCAGGAGGCCCCGGCTGCCAGGGAAAAGCTGGGTGTAGTGGCACATTCCTGTGTGCCCAGCACCCACGACACCAAGTTCCAAGCCAGTATGGGCTATATAGTGAGTACCAGGCTAGCCAGAACTACAAAGCAAGGCCCTGACATAAACAAAACAATTTCTGTAAAGCGACACTACATAGGAAAAGGTTGAGGGAAGAGACTCTGCCATGAGTTTGTTTTAAAGCTTTTATTCTCGCCGGGTGGTGGTGGTGGTGGTGGTGGTGGTGGTGGTGGTGGTGGTGGTGGTGGTGGCCACGCCTTTAATCCCAGCACTTGGGAGGCAGAGCCAGGCGGATCTCTGTGAGTTCAAGGCCAGCCTGGGCTACAGAGTGAGTTCCAGGAAAGGTGCAAAGCTACACAGAGAAACCCATCTCTCCGTGTGTGATGGACACATGTATGGCACAAGGACTTTTGGGGGTTCAGTTCTGTCCTCCCATGATTTGAGACCTGAACTCAGGTCACCAAGCTTGGCAGCCAGTGCCTGCTGAACCACTTCACTGGCCCTGTTAGTTTGTCTAGAGGCTCTCATGTAATCCAGGCTTTCCTTGATCCTGCGTGTAGCTCAGGTTGACTTTGAATTTCTGATCTTCCTGCCTCTACCTCCCAAATGCTAGGATAATGGGTAAGCACTACCATGCCTAGTTCTTTACGCTGTCTTGCTTTTCTTGAAAGTTTTATTATGCAACCCAGTCTGGCCTCAAACCCTCAATCCTTCTGTTTCAGCCTCCTAAATGCTGGGGTTACAGGCACATTAGCTCTTCCTAATAAAGGTTTGTTTGTTTGTTTGTTGCTGTTGTTTTTCTTTAAAGACAGGGTCCCACTGTATAGCCTTGGCTGTCCTGGAACTTGCTCTGTAGATCAGGCTGGCCTCGAACTCACAGAGATCTGACTGCCTCTGTCTTCCAAGTGCTAGGATTAAAGGTTTTCACCACCACACCTGGTCACAATAAAACTTTCTTGTGTTGTTGTTTTGGGACAGTTTCATGTAGTGTAGGCCAGCCTCAAACTCCCATGTAGTTGCTTATGCCGTTGAATTCCTGCTCCGCCCACCTCCATCTCTCAAGAGCTGTGCTGGGATTATAGGAGTATGTCAGAACATCTGGCTTGAGTCAAGCTGTCTATTTAATTTAATTTTTTTAAAAAGATTTATTTATTACGTATACAGCATGTATGACTGCAGGCCAGAAGAGGGTACCAGACCTCATTACAGATGGTTGTGAGCCACCATGTGGTTGCTGGGAATTGAACTCAGGACCTCTGGAAGAACAGTCAGTGCTCTTAACCTCTGAGCCATCTCTCTAGCCCCTATTTTATTTAATTTTTAAACAAAATGAAAGAAGATTTCTTAGGGAATATAAGAAACAATTCCTGCCTCGGGGAAGGATTTGCCCTGGAGGAGGTGGGAATGGAGGGTGGGCTGGGGGTAAGGGGAGGGGGTGGGAGGGGGGAGAATAGGGGAACCCGTGGCTGATATGTAGAAATGAATGGAATTGTAAAATAAAATAAAATAAATAAATAAATAAATAAATAAATAAATAAATAAATAAATAAAAAGAAAGAAAGAAAGAAACAATTCCTGAAAATGTAAGGGCTCAAAGAAGGAATGCCCAGTAAAGCTTTCTGATAATACTCTAGTTAGCTCCTTATGGATATTTCATAAAGTAACACTTGAAGACTCAAAACTTACTGGAAACTCTTTTTGGCTTTTCAAGACAGGATTTCGCTGTGTAGTTTTGGTGCTGTCCTGGATCTTGCTTTGTAGACCAGGCTGGCCTCTCACTCACAGAGATACGCCCGCCTCTGCCTCCCAAGTGCTGGGATTAAAGGCACGTGCCACCACTGCCCAGTGGAAACTTTCTAAATTAGCAAATTTTTTTTTTTTTTTTTTTGAGACAGGGTCTTACCAAAGAGTCCTAGGAAGCCTAGGTCTTGCTATGTAGACAAGGGTGATCTCAAACTCATAGAGATCTACCTGTCTCTGCCTCCTGAGTGCTGGGATCAAAGGCGTGTACCACCTGACCGACAATATTTCCTTCTTTTTTATTTAAAATTAATTTATTTATTCTTATTACATGTACATTGGTGGTTTGCCTACATACATGTCTGTGTGAGAGTGTCAGATCTTGGAGTTACAGACAGTTGTTAGCTGCCATGTAGGTGTTGGGAATTGAACTCAGGTCCTCTGGAAGAGCAGTCAGTGCTCTTCACTGCTGAGCCATCTCTCCAGCCCCTGATAACATTTTCTTAAAAATATTGTTTTATTTTGCCAGGTGGGTGGCAGAGGCAGGTGGATTTCTGTGAATTTGGGTGCAGTCTGGTCTACAGAGTGAGTTCTAGGACAGCCAGGGCTACACAGAAAAATCATATCTCAAACAAACAAACAAACAAACAAAGTAGTTTTCTGTGTGTATACCCTCAGAGGCTGAGGAGGATGCCTCAGCGGGCACTGGATGTCCTGGGACTGGAGTTACATGTGGTGTGACTTTCCCAGTGTGGATGCTGGGTACTGACCTCAGTTCTCTGCAAGCGCTAACTAAGCACTCTGAACTGCTGAGCCATCTCTCTAGCCCATTTCGTTGTTTGGAGAGAGTTTCAGCTTGTTGTCCAGGCTGGCCTGGAACTTCCTTCATCTCATGGCAATCTCCTGTGTCAGTTTCCTAAGTACTTTGTTATAGGCACCAAGCCCAGCTGACGACACTATGCTTTAACTAACCGGTCGCGTGCACGCGCGTTAGGAGTGTCCTATCTCTTAGCTATATACCTGGTCATCCCTCAGCCCCTTCTGCCTTAAAACAGGGTCATACTCTGTAGCCCACATTGGCCTGAACTCATTGCTATGCATGAAGCCCAGGCTGGCTTTGAATCTTGAGATTTCCCCCCCCCCCACACACACACACTTTACATTCCTTATTACAGGGATGGACCACCACACATGGCTCATTATCTTAATTTTGATTAAAAAAAAATAGAGATCAGATTCCAAGTTCTGAGTGTAAGAGGAATCTGCTGCAAGCGCTGCAGAACACAGACTTCGCTTGTCAGGTTTATACCACGGGGCCAACAACACCCTCTGACTTCCGTACCTGTTCAGAGCCATATAGAGCCGAGTATTGTGGGTGTGGAATTTCTCTCCAATGTTATTATAAAACTCAACAATAAAGGTGAGAGACATGCCCAAGGGAAAGGCTGACAGGGTCCTTCCTTGGGCTGTGTATAGCTTGGGGTAGCTGCTCATTCGAAGGTATGTCACTGGCGCTACCTGTGGGAGACAAAACCCACCGGTACAGGGACTGCAGCGCTGGACAAGAGCTGCTATCACACTCTACGACCTGGAGTCAAGGCCACAAGCCGAGTGTGTGTGTGTGGAGACCAGAGGACAGCCAGCTGCTGTTGATCCCTGCCTTCCCATCTTGACCGGGGCTCCTCACTGCCGTGGAAGTCAGGCTAGCCGGCCCTTGAGCTTCTGGGGCTTCTCCTGTCTCTGCCTCCCATTTCTTGTAGGCCCACTGGGATTACACGTGCCTGCACTACCGCATCTGGCTCTTCTGCGGGTCACGGGGATCGGAATCCAGGCTTGTACCTGTGCCGTTACCCACTTCCCCCGCCCCGGGGTTCCTCTGTAGGGCAGAGCCTTTGACTGACATGCTTGTAGTGAAAGGAATATGATGGCACAGGCGATGGCTACTTCGTTATGTAAGCTGGCAGGCAGAGAGAAGCTGTAGTGTAGCTAGTCTGTTCTCTGCAGAGTGCTTGGGATCTATCACTCGGTGATTGATTATCAGGAATACAGTGGACTCCCCCCATGGTATGGAGGCTGCACACTACAGTAAGACAAATACAGTCTGACCCCAGTTTGTCACTTCATAGCTGTAGGCAGTTCTGGACCTCAGCTTCCTTCTCAGTTACATGCAGCCCATACAGTTCTTATGATAGTAAAAAGAGGTAATGTACACAGCAGGACTAATATATGGGCTGGAATATGTATATATTCTAATGCCTAGATGATTCTTTTAGATTAACATGCCTCTGAGACCTTTTCTACATCTGATCTTAGCCAGAAGGCCAAGAAGTATTCTGAGGCCTCTTTCCACTCTAAAATGTTTAATTCTATATCAGTCAGACATTATTTTTGAGATATGGTCTCATTCTGTTGCCCACGCTGACCTTGAACCTGCAGCATCCTTGTGCCTCAGCTTCCTGAGTCTGGGACTGAAGTCACGGGCCACCACACCCAGCTCTGACAGAAGCAGTTCTATCCTTTGCCCTCACCACTCTTGGCAAAGGATGGAAGGCAGTCACACTAATATGAGCTAAGCCCTCTCTTCAAGGGCGGCATAGTCTGTTTTCGTATGCTGCTTTGAAGCCACGTCGGGATCTGTTCTTACAGGTTCACTTGTCTTCCAGAGAAGCTCCTAGTTCTCCGAAGACATCGCCTTTCAGGGCCAGGGCCTTCCATCTACTTTGTTATCCTTATTTATTTACTTGTTGGGTTTTTGAGGTGCTGGGATCAGATCCCAGCTTTTGCATGCCAGGCAAGCGCTCTACTCCTGAGCTAGGTCATAGACCCCATTATTATATTGATTTAGTCCCTGACTCACCTGGACTCCAGTTATGGTGGTTTGATTGACTCCAAAGGGTTCTATAGAGGTGACTTCCAACACTGCAGTGCCCGCAATGGATCCAGATCTCAGGAGTCCTTGGCCATCTTCTTCAATGACCGAGGAATTAGGGAAACACTTGAGAACACGCGAACTCACAAAGGCTGCGCCTTCCCTAGGAGATAAGCAGAACAAGTAGGCGCACTCTTGGGGACCCCGTCTGGTCAGAGGGAAACAGGTGAGGACTGGTGGGACCCAGATGAGTGTACGGGCTCGCCTGTACTTCCAGCATTGGTGGCTGAGGCAAGAGGATTGCCATGAGTTTGAGTCCACAGAGTGAACTCCGGGCTAGCTTGGGCTGTACATAAAAACCCTGTCTTAGAAAACTAAAAACTAAAAAAAAAGACAGTTTTGAGGACGACTGTTGGAGTCTGCTCTGGAACTGTTTGTATTCTCCATGTTGTATGTTCCTCAGGCAAAGTCAGCCCCATGGCTTAAACTTTTTTCCTTCCTCCTCCACTTCCCCACCCACTCTCCCTCCTTCCCTTTCTCCTTTTCTTCCTGTTTCTATTCTTAAGTTTTTTTTTTTTTTAACATTTTTAAACCTTGTTATAAAAGTTGAGGAACTGGGAGTGATGGTGCACATCTTTAATCCCAGCACTGGGAGGCAGAGGCAGCAGATCTCTGTGAGTTCAAGGCTAGCCTGGTCTACAGAGTGAGTTCCAGGACAGCCTGGACTACATAGTGAGACTGTCTCAAAATAACAACAAGGGGAGTGGAGAGATGGCTCAGTGGTTAATAGCACTGACTGCTCTTCCAGAGGACCCAGGTTCAATTCCCAGCACCCACATGTCAGCTCACAACTGTCTGTAACTCCAGTTCCAGAGGGTTGATCCCCTCTTCTGTTTCACAGAATCCTACATACATGAAGGACACAAAAGCTCATACAACCACACACATGTACATATAAAAATAAAAGATAAACAAACAAGTAAAAAATGAAAACCTTGAGCAGGGCATGGTGACCTTTAATCTTTCTTTTTTTTTCATTTTTCTTTATTAAGAATTTTTCTGGGGGCTGGAGAGATGGCTCAGAGGTTAAGAGCACTGACTGCACTTCCAGAGGTCCTGAGTTCAATTCCCAGCAACCACATGGTGGCTCACAACCATCTGTAATGAGATCTGGCGCCCTCTTCTGGCCTGCAGGCAAACATGCTGTATACATAATAAATAAATCAATCTTTTTTTTTTAAAAAAAAATTTTTCTACTCACTCCGCATACTATCCACAGATCCCCCTTCCTCCCTTCTCCCACCCCCAGCCCTCTTTCCCAAGCCACCCTGCATCCCCATATCCCCCAAATCGAGGTCTCCCATGGGGAATCAGCAGAACCCAGCACACTGAGCCTAGGCAGGTCCCAGCCCCTCCCCACTGCACCAAGGCTATGCAAGGTGTCACACCACAGGCACCGGGTTCCAGAAGCCTGCCCATAGACCAGGGACAGATCCCGATCCCCCTGCCTGGGTGCCCCCCAAACAGTTCGAGCCAAACAACCGTCTTCCGTGTCCAGAGGGCCTAGTCCAGTCCCATGGCGGCTCCACAGCCACCAGTCCACAGTTCATGGGTTTCCACTAGTGTGGCCGGTCATCTCTGCACGTCCTCCCATCATGATCTCGACATCCCCCACCTGCCGAATCTCTCCTCTCTCTCATCAATTGGATTCCCAGAGCTCAGCCTGGTGCCTGGCCGTGGATCTCTGTATCTGCCTCCATCAGTCACTGGACAAAGGCTCTATGATGACAGCTAGGTTATTTGCCAGGCTGGTCACTAGAGTAGACTGGTCCAGGCACCCTCTGGACCACTGCCAGCAGACCATGGTGGGGTCAACCTTGTGGATTCCCCAGAGCCTCCCCAGCACCATGCCTTTTCCTATTCCCTTGATGTCCTCATCTATCATGGTATCTCCCTCCCTGCCCTCCCACTCTGTCCCTGTTCCAGTTTGACCCTCCCATTTCCCTATGTTCTCATCCCCCACTCCTCACCCTCTGCCACCACCCCACACCCTAGTCCGCTCATGTAGATCTCATCCACTTTTCCTTCACAGGTGACCTTTAATCTTATCACTTGGGAGGCAGAGACAGGTGGATCTCTATAAATTTGAGGCCAGCTTTGTCTAAATAGTGAGCTCCAGGACACATAGAGAGACCTTGTCTCAAAACAAAACAAACAAACAAACGAAACCCCCCAAAAACCCAAAACACTAACACCCTCCTCCCCCAAAAGTTGCAAATTAAAAAAAAAAATCACACACCCAAAATAACCAGACCCAAAGACTAAACAACTGTGTTTTAAGGCAAGGTCTCATGTAGCCCAGGCTGGCTCACTACGTAGCCCAAGATTAACCTGAACCCCTGATTATCCCTCCACCCCTCCAGTGCTGAGACATCCAGGTATGAGTCACCATGCCCAGCTCTGGTTCGTTTTCCCACTGCCTCCCAGAGTCTCTTGTATTCCAAGCTGACCTTAAACTTCCTATGTAGCCAAGGGTGACCTTGAATTCCTGATCTTCCTGTCTTACTTTACGTTTCTCTTGCTGTGAGGGAACACTGTAACCAAAAGCAACTTGGGCTTACACTTCCAATAACAGCCCATCACTGAGGGAAGTCAGGGCAGGAACTCAAGCAGGGCAGGAACCTGGAGGCAGGAGCTGCTGCAGAGGCCATGGAGGGGTGCTGCTTACTGGCTTGCTCCTCATGGCTTGTCCAGCCTGCTTTCTTGTAGAACCCAGGAGCACCATCCTAGGGATGGCACCACCCGCCATGGGCTGGGCCCTCCTCCATTAATCATTAAGTGAGAAAATGTCCTACGGGCTTGCCTACAGTATGATTTATAGAGGCATTTTCTCAACTGAGGTTCCCTCCTCTCAGATGACTCTAGCTTGTGTCAAGTTTACATATAATACCCAGCACATGTCTCTACCGCCCCACATGCTGGGACTACAGGTATATACCACTAACCCAGGCCTGTCTGTGCTTTTCTCTTGAAAAATCAAGTCCTGTTGCATACCAAAAAATTATTTGGACAAAATAACTGAAAATATTCAAACAAACACTCATACATGAGCGATGTCCACGGCATCACTATTCACAATAGTCAAAAAGCAAAAATGACTGAGGTGGGGTGGCTTGACACTTAGGGAGCTGGGGAGGAGGGTCAAGATGCTGAGAGCCGACCTCAGACACACATGGAACCCAGGCATGGCGGCACACCCCTGTGCTCCTAGCACCGAGGAGGCAGAAGCAGGAACATCAGCAGGCCATGGTCACCCTCAGTTACGTAAGAGTCGAGGCCAGCTTGGACCTATCTCAGAGAGAGAGAGAGAGAGAGAGAGAGGAGGGAGGAAGGGAGGAAGGGGGAGAGGGAGAGGGGGAGAGAGAGAGAGAGAGAGAGAGAGAGAGAGAGAGA